CATTTTTTCTACTCTTCATCCTTTTCCCGTCCTTCTGCCTTTAGATTGCCGAAGGATAGGGGCGTTTGGGAGAACATACGCGCGACCTGTAGTCCGCGTATCTTTACGCGCAGGGGGAGGTGAGTTGGGGAGTCGTTGGAGATGAATTTTTTTCATTCTTCCAAAAAATCAAGGATTGAGAAGAATTATTGGGTACTCTCTTAGCTCGAGGAAAACAGCAATGGTAAAAATTAGATGGAAGTACGGACGGTATTGGCTCCGGAATAATCGGTAAAAGTTGGAGGAGGCGGGAACGGACAGAGTCCAAACTGTGCAGAGCGCGCATTCAGGATTTAACTACAGGTAGACCCGTTGTAACTACAGGTAGAGCGCCCATTCTGGACTTACTGTGAAGAGGCGGGGAACACATAACAATGATCATTGAATAAATTTTCGAGCCGTAAATCATCCATCATGCAACAAGTAGTACGTCCCGTGGTTTCAAAAAAAAAGTAGTATGTCCCGTTGTAACGCATATAGACACTTTTGCTATGGTATAAATTCTTTGCATTCTCAAAATTCGAATTCAGATAGCAAGAAATTACCGGAGCACTTTCACCCGTGCTCATGACCTATATTGGAGCCGAACCCGCTTCGGCCCATCGGCTCGTGTTCACAGGTGGGCCGATCCGAGAAACCTTTGCAGTCCTACCTGAGTCATCATTATAATACGTAATTACTATACCTAGGGTATCACTGCCAATCCGTCATCTATCCCCTCCCAGTTTCCCCACGAGGGCACGGCGGCGTCCATCGAGGGAACGGAGGCATAGATCAGGAACAGCTAGCAGCTGGCGGCGCGGCGATCCGAGGCCGGTCCAACGAGGCCGCGGTGGAGGCCGCCTTGGTCGCCTGCCGCCGAGATGAGGCGTCGGGAGACGTCGAGGCCATGGATTCACGCGAGTTCAACAACTTCGTCAGGGAGGCGGCGGCAGGCACCACGGCGGTCACCGGCGCGCGTTCTGAGGATCAGCAGCCGCGACAATCGTACGCCGCGAACTCCGGGCCCGTAGCGGTAGGGTGCGCACCGGAGCCACCACGGCGTCTCATAGTGCCAAGTCGCGGTTGGTCTCTCATCTTGGGATATCAGTAGCCAAGTCGCGGTTGCCGTCGGCATCCGCTCGTTAATCGTTTCTGTGTACCTGATCAGTACTCCCACCTCAGAGCCCAGAGTCTAGAGAAGGCATCAAAGTTCCCAACTCCTTCGTACTTTCACCAGACATTAGAGCAAATCCTAGGTGGCACATTATTATAAACTGTATGTTGGATGTTGCATAGACTGTATGTATGTTGGATGTAGACTTATGTTGCCCTCTGAATCAATTAAAAATGAAGTCCGAAATGCTTGTTGTGTTTGTTTATTACAATTGTCGTCTAGACAAGCACCTCATTGTACATACATGCATTCAGTTTTTTTCTTATATGACATGATATGCTTGTTCTTTTCTATTTGTTGAGGTTGAATAAAGTTCACAGTTTCTCTTTTCAAGTACTAGTTTTAAACTGAACTTTGGCAAGCAAAACCTCAACCTCAACCAAACAAGTGACAGCATCAACAAGCTAAGCAACTCTCCTTTTCCTCGCAAAACCTTCCTTGTTAACACACAAATTGCACCTTCGACGTCTCTCTTGTTTCGTTCTTAGAGCAGAAAGCACACATTTTGATCCTATTCTCAGATTGTAGACACATTTGATCCCCTGATCATTTAATTTACGAGGTTAAATCTCTGTCTTTCTATTTATCATGGTCACAATTATTTGTGGGCGGTCAGTGGTGTCTCTATTAATTGGATTTCCTACAGTCGTACCTTCCACAAGAATTACTCTTACAACCCTCCATCTTTGGACATTAAAATCCTCTGATTTCTTGTTCGGTTGATCACTGATAGATTCGGTGTCATCTTCCTGCTACTCTGCTGTAGTGAGTCTGCATTCCAATATATAATCAGATTGTGCTGGACATCATCTTCCACTATATAACCAGGAAGTACGACCAACTCACTGGTACCCATTTGATATGTTATTGCATCATTTAAGAGATGTGTTTCGGTTTCAAAAGTAAAATTAGTTCCTAATCATAGAAAATACATGTAACCAGTAAACCAGATCCTCTTCATATGAGTTGGCTATCATGCTGCAGTGCATATCAAGTTTTAAGGTATTAGAAAAATTCGGGAGTTCCGGTGATAAGCAAGTGTTAGCATTTGGAATTTTAAGATTGCTTCATTGTTATGGCCATATATATGTACCTAGTATTCTGAAATTTGAGCCCACTCATGCCATGGTAATTAATAATATTCTGAGAACTTATATTAAGTACCTGAATAAGTTTTAGGCATCCTCAACTCTGTTATTCTTTCCATTTGGGGATGCTGTGAGGTGTCAAATTTCTACTAACTATTGTGTCAATGGCTATAAAATGACGATTTAGAAGAGATAAGAGAAACCTTGGTTCTAACTGCCCCTAGAGGCCATGGCAGACATGCCAACCGTGCAATGCAGACATGGCGGGACTATCTCTTCAACAACATTGCAGAGCTGCTGGCTATAGTAATTCTTGATGTCCATAGGAGAGCTACTCCTATGCCACACATCATTATCATGAATTCCGAGCACCAAATACAATTAATTTAGTCAAAGAATTTGTTACTTTACACTATTTAAGGATCATTTGACAATTGTTAAAAAGAGTAATATTTCTGGATAATGTTTTTTTGGAGATATTTGTGGATAATTATGTATACATAAAAAGAGTAAACTTTTAACAGGATTCAACCTTAATATTCACATGCAATCCATTTGTTCTAGTAGTTATCTCGAAAAGTAATATTAATACAATAGTGAAAAAATTACTCTTGGTTATTTGCCTAAGCAATGCTAAAACATCCAGTGTTCTAAAGTTATTTATTTGTTTTTAATTAGTTTGATTATTTGCATATGCTGTGTGGTTCAAAAGGTTTACTCCTACAATTATGTGATTATCAGGAATAATATAATTATATGTATGAAAATAGAGAATTAAGAATAATATATTTACTTGTATGAAAAAGAGCGTGGCATGGTTTGTTCGAGCATATTTGATCGTCTAAATAAAACCTTTTCAATTTTACTTCACCTAGGTTCACCAAAATTAGAAAAAACTCATAATTTGCTTGACTCAATAAAACATTTTTATTTTACTCCACCGGGGTTCCAAAATTAAAAGAAAAATACAAACTCTAGATTTTTATCACTGGAATAAGTAGGTTTCTATATTTTTGCTCGCTTGAGTAAATTTACTACACTGGAATATGCCGCATTAAGAGAACAAAATCAATAATTTGCTTGTCTAATAAACATTTTTTGTTTTACTTCATTGGGTTCACATGATAAAAAAAAAAAACTCTACAATCTCATCGTCAGAATAAAAAAAAAATCAGCCTCATTCCACTGGGTTCCTGGTTTACTTTAAAAATAGAGAGGTAGCTGGACCGAAAGCTAGCTGCCTTGTCTGTCTTGTCCAGTACTCCAGTTGAACAGATAAACTGGAGTACTGGACTGTACTATTCTGCGCGCAGACCCTTGGCAGAGTTTGTGCCTTGTCATCTTTGCTGGACTGAAAGCTAGCTGCCATGAACATGGCGTGTTGCTGCGGTTGAGTGGAAGCTAAGTATGAAAGAACAAGCTGGACATGATCTTTCGGACGAACTAACGTTTTCATGCAGATCGGCAGAATCTGTGCTTTGTCCTCTTGTTGGATTGCAGGCTTCCATGAACATGGCGTTGCTGCCATTGTGTGAAAGCAACAAAGTCCGAGTTTTTTTTTTCGGCACGTTTTTCGTTGAGAAGAAAGGAGAGTTACAACAACGTTTGCGAGCGTTGGCGTTGATCGAATAGGTAGCAGTAGCAACCTGTCAATCACCTAAATGCATACCCATACAAAGGAAGCTACAATGTGATTTACAAAAGAACGATTTCGCGACTGAGGAGCACTCTCACTGGAAGATCTACACGTCCAGCTTCAGCACCTTCCGATGGCAGTGCCTTGCAGGGAAAAGTTCGCGCAACAAAGTCCGAGTCGTTGGACATGATATTTCGACATACAGAAGCAAGCTAAGAAGGGATGAAACTCAACAGAAAATAATGTAAGGAGATTATTGAGTTCTTTAATTGTACCAGTCAATGAGTAGTTGCTTCAGCACAATATTTGAAAGGACCTATATATGTATATGATAATATGACCAGTCCTCAGTTTAATCTGTTATATATTTGCCTCACCTGATATTAGTCGTCTTGGTATAGTGAGACATATAAGATTTTCTAAAAGTGGTGGTGTACAAAATGAATTGAAACCCTGAATAAAAGGGCGGATACTATACGCACCATTCTCTCATGTTGTTACTCAAACATAAGTTGGAAACGTACCAGCATTCAACATCAGCCACTCTCCTTGGTGATTACCGATTAGGCTGAAAAGCAACGCTACTACACGTGCGGGTCTTAATTCTTAAAGGGGCTGTGTTTGGATTCTGCCGGTGGGAGCCCTGCCCAAGAGTTGCCCGGCCAAATTTGGTGGCCGCGCCAGAGAATTCATTCGCCAGCACAGGCATAAAAAATGAACTAGCATACGTAGGCACCTAGGTCACCGGGGAGCCATATGTGATTCAAACATCTTGCTTGTCTGTAGTCAATAAAGTATGTGCTTGCCCATGAGCACGTACTATATATATACAATAGATCGATGAATATGGAGTAATCTATCTATCAGCGAGCTAGAATTCCATAGTGAGTAATCTATCTGAAGTTTCTTTACTTTCAGCTAGCTTGTTGTCCTATTGCTCAAATTCGTTATTCAGACGCTTTTATCTGTACATGTTGCTTCAGTTCAATTATTGTTGTTTGCTTCGTTTGTACTACTTCCTATTGTCAACATATCTAATTGGAGTTGCTTTGCATTACTCATATGCAGCGAGGCTCGCTAAATGGAGTCTCATAGTGCCGACGTTCAAGAGTTGCCACGTCCTCAAAACACGGGCGATGAGCCTCTTACAGCTGAGGAAACAAAGAAGCACTACCGCAAGGGGTGCCAGCTGGAAGAGGCGAATCAGATCAGAACGGGCATCCCCTACCTCAACTTCTTCTACATCTGGATCATCGGCCTCACCTCCAGTAAATATCTGGCACCCGCTTTATGTTTCTCTTGGTTCTTGGCAAATAGTATGTAGGAAGTGTTCTAGCAGGCATGGCGGAGTGGATGCCTTCCGTTTGGTGCTACTTCTCCCACTAGCAATGAACCAAAAATCTCCTCAAAATTTTGAAACTTTGACGGTTCATAGATTTCAAAACATTTAGTTTTGAAACACTAAAACCATATATGTAGATTTTTCTTAATTAAAAACAATTTTCTTGATCTCATACTTATATTATACTATAACTATAGGCTAACAAGAAAAACAGTGGTAAAAATGCTATTAACACTCAAAAACTATAAAAAGTGGCGTGACCCTGCATGGAACAAGAGATCTTCTGATCGGATATAAGATAGGGTGCCTCTGTGCCATTATTGTCATTATCCGTGCATTATCTTTTGTTTTTATATCTAGATCAAATGCATGCATATGACATGGACATATAGGTACATATCCAGCTGCACTTCTGTCTACCACGCTTTGTGAGGAAGAAGCGCTGGCATGCTATCAGGTGCATAATAGGCTAATGGGCTATGGGTAGGTATGGATATGGCCTTGCTCAGTTGTTGACTTAGGCCAAGATGGTGAGCCAGTAGCTGCAGGAGCCCAAAATCAGGACTGCAACGACACTCTCGCCTTGAATCCTCCTAGCTCTAGTAGCCAATGCAAGCATCATGGGCGGAGCTACATGCACCACTGTGCCCACAGAAAAAATAAAAAACAGTGATAAATGTCAAATTTTCACCTTATTTGTACCCACAAATCATAAATCCTTGCACCTACAAGGCAAGCGCACCCCCTTCGAATTTGTTCTAGCTCCACCACTAGCAAGCATGGTGACCATGGAGACAGAGGATTGCGGCATGCCAGAGCGGTCAAAGCTGCATATGTGGTTCAGTGTCCTAAGACTCGAAGAATAGGCTGCTTGTTATCTATTATGTTTGTTGCACCATAGTTGTGCTTAAATTGTTCGATCAAATGCCGATGGGTGGTTTTCAAGTCCAGGCCATTACTTGGTCTTGTCAACAATTCTTACAGATATTGCAATAGAAAGGTTACAAGAGAAAATTAGCTGCATTAGTGCAAGCAAATTGTACAAATAGCAGTAGTACAAATTGGCATGCGGCCCTTACTTTTGAATGCTTGATATCCTCTATCAACACATGTTCCAAAACATGAGGAAAATGGTAGTCGCTTGGAGTACATATATTTTTGTATGTCTCAATATTTGTGTCCTTTTTTCTTGGAAAATTTTACATCACAGTATTGCTACAGAAAAATAAATTGTATGCTACAGAATTGATAAGGACTGGTCTTTTCATCTCGTTAAACATCTTTGAGATCACCACTATCTATAAAATGTAGAGAGGTTATAGAACTATAGTTGTCAAAGACATATTTACAATGATGTTATTCACTTTATTTTATCTTACATAAATGTGAATCATTTTTCTATTTCCAAATCAATCATATCATATTTGTTTTATCTAATGATGTATAACATCTCATTTTTGTCCATCCCAGCTCTACCGATCCAATCATTGTTCCCTTATATATACTTCATGGTATGTATATGGTCCAGAGCAGGGACTTGATTGCATTATGAAATATATTGGTTACTGACTCTATACTATTGTTGTAATACAACAGATCAGGGACATGAATATCGCAAAGCGGGAGGAAGACATCGCGTTCTATGTTGGATTTGTTGGTGAGTAACATCTCCTCGTGGTTTCAGATCTTGGCCTGTATATGTTTATACTCTTAATCTCAATCAGATTGCATGTGCATTTTCCTTAAATAATAAAGAGACCATAGTTATTGACTTATTGTCACAATTCGATAATACTGTAATCACTAGTTACAGTCAAGCTGACTATAATTCTCTTTTAGGGTCATCTTATTTCTTTGCTAGAGCACTCAGTTCTGTGCCATGGGGCATATTTGCTGACAAGTATGGAAGGAAGCCCTGCATCGTGATTAGCATCCTCTCAGTGTAGGAAATAATCAGCCACATTGTGGGATCTTGCTCAGTAGTTAGTCTGCCACCATCAAATGGGAGTAAACCAAGTTTTGATTTTTCAGGATTGTTTTCAACACATTATTTGGTCTTAGCACAAGATACTGGATGCCAATTGTAACTAGGGGATTGCTTGGGATGCTTTGTGGTATATTGGGACCAATCAAGGTATCTTATTGTCTTTGCTTGCCCCGATTAGCAACTGACAGTAGGCATTAGATGCTCATAGATACATATGTATTTTCCAGGCTTATGCTACAGAAGTCTGCAGGAAAGAGCACAAAGCTCTAGGAATGTCTCTTGTAAGAACAATCCTTAATTATATCTTCTGCATTTCAAACCTTCAACTTATTCAACAAATCTTTAGATTGTAATGTTCATATTTACTTGTATCTAACTTAAGTCTAACGTGATGTCCTAGGTTACATCATCACGAGCGATAGCTCTTGTTGTTGGACCAGCTATTGGAGGGTTTCTTGCACAGGTGAAAATAATAACTGCACTTTAGTAGTACAATAAACTAATCAATGCAAAAGTATATGACTAACATCGTCTATCCTCTATCATGTACTAGCCAGCAGAAAAGTATCCACATATTTTCTCCAAAGAATCCATATTTGGGAGGTCAACTACTACTCATACTATTTTTGTTATATGATTTTTTATCGTTTTATGCATATGACAAACCTTTGGAATTTGCTTCCACCTTCAGGTTTCCATATTTCCTCCCATGCTTTACCATATCGATACTAGCAATGGGATCCTGCATCGCATGCATTTGGCTTCCCGTATGAAATATCTTTTTTGACCGCACCACCGTATGAAACATCTTGTCCTTTATGATTCTTTCCTTAAAAAATACAACTTATTAGGTCCCTTCAAAATACATTAAATGTATCAGGATTGTTACACTACCATTTAGCACAAATTTCTACTACATCCACACACACAGAGAAAAAACATTCTTCTACAAATGTTATAAGATTTTTTAGAAAGATGCTTAGTATTTATCCGATTTTCTTAGGAAACGCTACACTTTCACAATGATGGAAAGGTAGGAGGTGCTGATGAAGAGGAGGCACAAATTTCTGAGGAAGTGGAAGCACAAGTTGGTCTGTCAAACATAGAACCTGGAAAGTCTAAAGTATCTAGTGACACATCTTTGAAGAACCTGCTAAAGAATTGGCAATTTATGTCATCTGTAAATCATCTACTGTATCTTTTCTCTCCATGATGTAGCTTACCTTGAGGTGATTTTTTCTTATATGATCATGAGAGTAACTTCTGCAATAGCAGTTCAATATGCGAGGATGCCAATAATATTGTTGTGGCCCTTGGCATTGATGCTAAGTTGTATGTGGCCAATCCTAATATGTTCTCTCTAACTATTATCTTCAGTCATTTTCACTTTGGGCTGTGAGCAAAAGAAAATTTCGGGGCTTGAGTTGGACAACTCAGGATGTGGGTATTGTGCTAGCCATCTCAGGTATATAGTATTTTCCCAAACTTTTATGCAAATGATTATTGCGTATAATAAGAGAATTTCCTTGCAGAAAAAGAGAAACAATGACCTGCAAAATGAATTGAAGTAACATGGAAATAACATATGCCTTTAACACTTCCGGTAGTGTTGCCATCAAATTATTTACCTTACAACAACTTCATTTGATCCTTGTAGGTATTGGTGTTCTTGTATATCAATTTGTTGTTTATCCTTTCATTGCCAAATATTTTGGACCAATCAGACCATTACGTCCTTCTGCGGTATGTGGGAAATACAACTTTGTGAGATTTGCTTCAGTATTCTACTTGTAAAAAGAAAATGAAAGATCTGAAACAATGTAGTCTAATTTTTAGTGGGGAAACAAATATGCATCAATCTAGTAAAATAAATCAAAGTGAAGGTTAGATATAGATTTGAATAGTAGGTGGGGGAATAGTATTTGATTTCTTTCTATAAAAACAATGAGGTGTGCATGACAATTTCTTTCTATAAAAACAATGAGGTGTGCATGACGATTTCTTTATATAAAAACAATGAGGTGTGCATGACGATTTCTAAAAGCGGTGTATTGATTCAAATCCCTATTTTTGTTACTCCCCCAATAGCAAATCTTCTGCAAAACCCTGCCTCAGAGTGGCAGCAAGGACGCCTGCTGCCGGCGCACCGGCCGCTGGGCATTCACTTCCCCTCCGCTCGGTCGCCTCGCCCCATATTGATGACACGGTTCCTTCCCAAGGCGAGTGGCACATGGTTGACGACGGGCTGCGCCAGCATGCCGCTGGAGCGCATTCAAGCGTGTCTGCTGCCTCCCCGTCTGCGATAGAGGAAGCCGGTTGGTCCAAGGTGCGCCCAAGGTACTGGTGGCGACTCCCAGAGCACAAGGATCCGCCCTCTTCAAGACCCTCAACCACAAAGGTTACATCGACGTGCTCCCACTACAACGAAGAGCTCCTAAGGCGCATGAGAGGTAAATGCTTCAGATGTCTCTCCCCTCGCCATGCCACGACAGTCTGCCGGGACCCTGTGCGGTGCATCAGCTGTGGCCGCTGGGGGCATAAAAGCAGAGAGTGCATAAGCAGAGTTCCATCCTCCTAGCAGCAATCACCCCAGCCTCTGGCACCCCACCACCACTCGACGACTGCAACTTCCCTCCCCTCGAAAGGGCCACAATGGCAAGGCCCGAGGACCCTGCTGACTGCCCCTAGGACACTGTTGCGGTGGCCTTCTCCACCGACGACATGGATTGTGAACTGAACCGCCTCTCCATGCATGGTATGGTGGCCTGGCTGGGGAAGGATCGCCCGGAGGTGGAGCCAGCTGTCATCAAGAAAGCCATCTGCCACCGGCTCGCGGTCCGCCCGGAGGATGTCACCGTCGTCAAACACTTCCCCGAAGATTTCTTCGTCGACTTCACGCATCGCCACCAACGTGATGAGGTGGCGAATCAGGGAAGATTCCCCTACGGCAACCTCGACATCCACACCAGGCCTTGGCAGCTGTTCACGCACGGCGACATCTGTGACCTCAAGTACCATGTTCGACTATGCCTGGAGGGCATCCCACTTCAGGCCTGGAACGAGAGCATCGCCAAGAGGGCCATCGCAAGGGCCTGCGACATAGACTACATCGAGCAGTCTTCACTGGACCGCGAGGGCACCAGGGCGCTCTGCCTCTGGGCCTGGACACACAACCCGTCGGACATCCCGATGGTAACCTGGCTCACCTTGTCGTGCAGGAAAGCAGAATTCCATGATGGCCCACCTGCCCGTGGTCGCCGTGGTCTCACCTTCAGGGTTCTCATGCACCTTGACTTGGTGGAAGACCCACCAGGGAAGAACGGGTGCGCTCCCCCCCCCCTCGACTACACGTGGTGTTACGGTGTCGTCGATGGCGAGAGGGTACCACGCAACCGCCTCGACCCTCCGCCTGCAGTAGCCCGCAGCAGCTGCCGCGACGATGACGGCGACGATCGCCGTGGGCGCCGCGAACGCCAGGGGCGATAGCTGGAGCTCACGCCTCCTATAGCTTGTCGCCCGCTCCTAGGGAGCGGGAGCGTGACCGTTCGAGTCCAGACACGACGGCCGGCTGCATCAGAGCCCCGATCGTGGGGGTAGACGACACCCCCTGGAACACGCCGGGGCCACGGGGCCTGGGCCTGGCCACCAAGCCTTGGAGGATCGGCGCCCGCATGGCTCCACCGACCACACCAGCTCGGCTCTCGACTCCCGTGGGCCCCCTCCCGCGGGCGAAGCAGGGAAAGGGCGCCCCGCTGCAAGCGACACAGGCAGGCGCGCTCGGTGACATGCCCCAGGATGGCGCACTCGGACCCGCGCTCTAGGATGACGCGCTCGAAGTCCTCGGCAACACGCCTGCGCTGCAAGTTGTCGGCTCTCAGAGGCGACACCGGCAACAACTGTCATCCATCACCAAATCCACCCAAGGGGTGTGCAAATAACAGCCAGCCAGAAACTTCATCATAGTCTTCGCCTCCATCTACTGTGGTGTCTGCTCCGTCGACTCAAGAACCGGTCTCCCAGCCTATACCTCAGGGCAGCACGGCACCAACTTCGCCATCACCTGCCTCGCCTATCTTATGCTCTCACCTGCCTTGTAGATTCTTCCTCACGATATCCCTGACCTCATAGCTCATCAGGGGGAGACATTGCAGTGCTCCAGTTTGCCCCTCGAGCGTCGCTTCCGCCCAGGACACGTCTACCGCAGGCGAGCAGGTGATGGCCTCGTTCCCTAGCCTGAAGCACAGCCGCAAGGGGGAGGACAGATCAGGCGCTTCCGTCTGGGACTCGTTTACTCCAGACGTAGAGCTCGGGGCACAAGCACCTCTAGTTCGCGTCGAGACGTGCCCACTGCCAGACATCCATCACCAGGCACGGGCCAGACTACCACAGAGGTAGATGCTGCTGCGTCTGCTGCAAGGCTGGCGATGACTGAATTCATCATAGGGATTCCTCACGCCTCGCCCCAACCTCTCTTACAGGTTCCACAGCACCGTCCCAGACCACCACAACGACGCAGAAAGGTTGCGGCTCCAGCGCGTAGAAGTGTGTGCATCGCTGCCAGGACCTAGCCCAGAGGCGACACACAAGGTAAAGCCCGCCAGGTCCTCATGAAGAGGCTTGGCATCCTCGATGAGGACGGACTCAGCCCTGATACTTCAGCCTGTTCCAAGGACCGCTCACTAAAGACGTCGTCAAGGCCTTGACAGCCCTATCGGGCATCGACTTGGCACCTGCAATAGCTGCTGCACAAGCCTAGAATCGCGTGTTCAGCAAGGGCCACAATATTGTATCAATGTTAGAAAGTCTCTAGTGTCGTAGGAGCTCCACAACTCTGAGTTGCGGTTCATTTTGGCCAGATGGGGCGACAGCCAGGGGCCTTCAGTCGTTTCCCCATCCGGTTTAGGTTCGCAAAGTAGTTCATCGTAGCAGCCCTCCGACATGCAGGGACCTTTTGCATTGCAGTAGACAACCGACAGCCATTGGCATTCAGTTTGGTTGGCATTGTCAGTCTACTGCTACTTCATGTATTGCCAAGACATACCCTGCTATAAATCAAAGTTTCTGTTGGTCACCAGTTTGTCTTCATCCTTGTGTTTCAACAAATCAGGGACCCCTTCTTTGTCCTTATGGCTCAGCATAACTGTCAAATTCTAAACTGGAATGTCAGGAGCCTCAATGACAGCATGCGGCAAGATGCTGTGTATGAACTGGTCAGAAGCACAGGCGCCACTATTGTGTGCTTACAAGAAACTAAGTTGTAGCTCCTTGATCAAAATGTGGTGATCCGCACAGTGGGAACAAAATTTGTAAACTCCTTTGCTGTACTCCCGGCTGATCAAACCCAGGGAGGCATCCTCCTAGCAGTAAATGAAGACTTTTCGACCTCTCCAACATCGAACTGGCCACAAATACGATAACGGCAACAATCACCATGAGGGCGGATGGGATACAATGTAAAATCACGGTAGTCTACGGTCCGCAAGGGGATGCAACCAAGCTTCAGTTCCTTCAGGAATTGAAAGGCATTCCACCACCGGTGCACAATAGATGGCTCATCCTAGGGGACTTCAATCTCATTTACCAGGAGCAAGATAAGAATAACTCCAATCTTAACCGACGTCTGATGGGCGCTTTTAAGGCAGTGATTGATCATCTACGTCTCAAAGAAATCAAGCTAAATGGACGCCACTTCACATGCTAAATGGACGCCACTTCACATGGAGTAATCAGCAGGACAGCCCTACGCTCACTAGAATTGATAGGCTCCTATGCACCCCAGAGTGGGAATTGATCTTTCCTGCCTGCTTCTTGCATTCCCTTCCGTCACTTATGTCCTACCACACCCCTTTGCTTCTGCAAGGAGAGCTTGTCCACCATCACAACTCGTTCTTCTGGTTTGAAAACTTCTGGACGGAGATGGAAGGCTTTCACGACCTCGTCCAAACCATTTGGAACAGGCCAGTCACCTCGGTTCTCCCCATGAAGCGTTTACACATCAAGATGGCGCGGGTTGCAAAAGGAATCAAGCGTTGGAAAAAGGAAAAAAATGGTGATACAAAATTGCTGCTAGCCATAGTGAAAGAAATCTTGTTGCAACTAGAGGCAACGCAAGAGCAAAGGATGCTCACTGCTCTAGAGCTCGATCTGCACAAACGACTCAAAGCTCGCAGTATGGGGCTTGCGGCCATTGAAAAAACAAGAATACGGCAAAGATCACGGCTCACCTATATTCGATGCGGAGATGCCAACACGAAGTTTTTCCACATTAGAGCTAGTGCACATTGGAGAAAGAATTACATATATTGTCTGCATATAGACGAGGGGATTGCGATTAGTCATGAAGAAAAAGAAAAAGTTATAGGGGACTATTTTAAAAACCACATTGGCTCCGCAGTTCCGAGATCCACGACCATCAACTGGCAATCCCTAGGCTATGCCCCGCATGACCTCTTGGACCTTGAGGCACCTTTCTCCCATGAAGAGGTTCAGAATACAATAAATGTCATGCCTTCTGACAAAGCACCAGGTCCGGATGGCTTCATGACGTCTTATTTAAAGCATGCTGGGGAATTATCAAAGACGATGTTATGGCTGCCATAAACAGCCTTTTCACAATGAACGCCTAGGGATTTGAGTGGCTCAACTCGTCGTGCATCGTCCTACTACCCAAAAAAGCGGACGCAATGAGGGTGACTGATTTTAGGCCAATTAGCCTCATCCACAACATAGCGAAGATTTTCTCCAAATTGCTAGCGAACAGGCTGGCCCCTCGGCTGAATTCCCTAGTCTCTAACTACTAGAGCACATTCATAAAAAGGAGAAGCATCCATGACAATTTCCTTTATATTCAGGGAGCAGTGCGAAAGCTACACAGGCAGAAGATACCGGCATTATTCATGAAACTGGACATCCACAAAGCCTTCAACATGGTGAATTGGGGGTACCTGCTAGAGGTTCTATAGGCCCTGGGCTTCGGACCACGCTGGCGTGAATGGGTCTCTATCCTATTCCGCACGTCCTCCTCGACTGCGTTGCTTAATGGGCGGCATGGCCCCAGCTTCAGCCATGCCAGAGGAGTCCGGCAGGGAGATCCGCTTTCACCCATGCTCTTCATTTTGGCCATGGACCCGCTACAACGCTTACTTGATCAGGCAACCCAACAGGGGAAACTTACCCCTTACGGCGGCAAAATGGAGGACTTCCATGTATGCAGATGATGCGGCTATCTGCATTAACCCAAAAATAGAGGATGTAGAAGCTATCAAAATTATCCTCCAAGCCTTTGGCAGCTTCTCAGGATTACACATAAATTTAGAAAAGAGCTCCGTGCATCCAATCCGGTGTGAAAACATTGACCTTGACCATGTCCTATCACCCTTCACCGGTAGCAGAGGCATCTTCCCCTGTAAATATCTAGGGCTGCAACTCCACACCAGATCACTGTAGAAAGTCCACATCCAACCTCTCATTGAGCGAATTGGGCAAAGGTTACCGAAATGGAAAAGGCGATGGTTGAACAAAGCGGGACACCTCACCCTAGTCACTTCGGTCCTATCCTCCATGCCAATGTACCACCTTACAGTGTTTCCCTCGGCAGCATGGGCTAGAAGGAAGATTGATAAAATCAGGAGATCCTTTCTTTGGAAGGGGGATGACAATGCTAATGGCGGACACTGTTTGGTCAATTGGCCAACAGTTACCATACCCAAAGAGCTAGGAGGCCTGGGAGTGCCTGACCTTGATAGATTTGGAAGAGCTCTCCGGTTACGCTGGCTATGGCAAGAATGGGTGGAGGATTCCAAGCCGTGGCTAGGCTCTGAACTTCCATGTAGTGATATGGATCGCCTCCTTTTCAACGCTTCAATCAAAATTACTTTGGGTGATGGTGCAAAGACTCGCTTCTGGCACTATAATTGGTTGGATGGTGAAGCTCCAAGGTACCTAGCTCCAAACCTGTTTCGACTTATTTCAAGAAAGAACCGATCGGTGCAACATGAACTCTACAACAACAATTGGATGCATTCGCTAAGGGGAAAGATCACCTCGGCTGTCCACATTGAAGAATTTATGTCCCTTTGGATACGGATTCAGGGCGTCCATCTGCAGCAGGGCGTTCGAGACTCCATCACCTGGCGATGGACCCCGAATGGGGTTTACTCCACCCGTTCAGCTTACCGAATCCAATTCAAAGGTTCATTCGGGTTCTTCCGTTCTGACCTGATTTGGAAAGCACTGGTAGAGAACAAATGCAAGATCTTTGCCTGGGTTTTAGTGCAAGACAAAATTCTCATGGCACAAAACCTACAAAAGAGACAATGGTCACATCAAGATCACTGCGTCCTTTGCAATGGGCCCTTAGAAACCGGCCTACACCTATGTTTGTGCTGCCCATTTGCAAAGGTGGTTTGGGACCAAATCCTCTCTTGGGAGAACTTCAATGTGCTGCAGTCACAGCCTCAGGGCGACCCAGTCCAGATCAAAGCGTGGTGGGAAGAGACGGTAAAAAAAGTGCCAATCACTGAACGCAGACGGCTCAATGGGGTAGTGATCTACACATTTTGGAATATTTGGAAAGAGAGAAACGTGAGAATCTTCAACAACACCGCAGAGACGGTGCCACAAGTGGCCGCAAGAATAAGGAGGACAGAGCAAAGGAAGAGGGCTTTCGCTTACGCTTAGCCTGTGGAAGTGTTTTCCTGTGTGTTCTTTTGCTCCTGGGGTCCTTAATACCCTTTTTGGAGTGTTCCCTTGCTTGTACATAAACTCTCTTTCTCTATCTTAATTGAAAGGCAAAGCTCCTGCCATTACGTTAAAAAAATGATTCTTTCCCTTGAAAACCCAATTTCTTACACCCTTTCAAAATGCATAAATATATCAGAATTGCTACGCCTCTGTACGTAGGTATCCTAATAAATTTTTCTTAAATTCTGAGGAAACGCTGCACTTTCATACCAGAAGTTCCTTAGCATTTATCCCATTTTCTTAGGAAACGCTGCATTTTCACAAGAATGAGAAAGTAGACGCTATTGATGAAGTGGAAGCACAAGTTGGTCACTCAAACGTAGAAGGTGGACAAGCTAAAGAATCTGGTGGCACATCTACAAAGAATCTACTAAAGAACTGGCAATTGATGTCATCAATAATTCTCTATTGTATCTTTTGTCTTCGTGACACAGCTTATCTTGAGGTGATCTCTTCTTATATGATCTTGAGAGTAACTTATTTAATAACAATTCAATATGAGATAATACTAATAATATTATTGTGGCCCTTGAAATTGCCGTTGAGCTGCCAATGATGAAGCCTAATATATATAAATATCTCTTTAGATATTTTCACTCTGGGCAGTGAGCAGTAGAAAATTCCGGGGCCTGAGTTTGACATCCCAGGATGTTGGCCTTGTGCTAGTCATTTCAGGTATGTGATATTTGCCAAGTTTTTATGAATATTTGTTGTACACAATCCCTTGCAAAAGAGAAGATGAACTACATGACCTGCAATAAATTAAAGTATAATGCATACATAGAATTCGTCTTTACCACTTCCAGATGCACTTCCATCAAATTATTTACCTTACAGCCATGCCATGTGATCCTTGTAGGTTTGGGTGTTCTGGTATATCAATTTGTTGGTTATCCCTTAATTGCCAGGTATTTCGGACCAATCAGACCATTACGACCTGCTGCGGTATGTGAGAAATACATCTTAGTGAGATTTACTTCAACACACCACTTGTAAAAAACAAGAATCTAAAACAAAGTAATTTAGTGTTTAAGTGGGGAAACAAACATGCATCGACATTGTAAATAAATCAAAATTGATGGTAGTCATAGATTTGAATATTAGGTGGGGGAGAATAGTGATCGGTTTCTTTTATGAAACTATGTGGCATGCTTCACAATTTATAAAAATCTATATTGAAGAAAATCCTTATTTTTGTTAAAATGCTTGTTCATCTTAAATGGGTCTTTGATTGTAGGTCTTGTCTATACTTGTCCTGGCAACATATCCCTTCATAGCCAAACTACAAGGGCTAGAACTCAAAATACTAATCAACATAGCTTCACTTTTGGGGGAACACATTTTCTGTGAGTTGTTATTTTCCGCATTAATATAAACATCCATAAATGAACACACACAAGAATTTCTTATTTTTGAACAAATTCTAATCTGTATTTGAACAAATTACTACTGCATGCAACATTCTGCAAAACACAGCAGTGGTAAGCATCAATCATGTCTGATAGGCTAATTTGTTTCAATACATATACATATGCTTGGCCATTTTTGTAGATTCCAACTTCCCCTATGAGACATGTGCAGACACAAGAACAGAGAGGTGTTGCAAATGGCATCTCCGTGACTCTAATGTCATTGTTCAAAAGTGTAGCTCCAGCAGCAGGAGGAATTTTGTAAGTACTACATTCTGTTTCCAGACAAAAAAAGTATTGTTTTTGTTTTTCCAATTGCTGATCTTTTTTTCTTTCTATTATACAGGTTTTCGTGGGCTCAGAAGCACATGACTGGGCTGTTATTACCAGGTACATAAACACATACATGTGTACTTGTGATGCCTATGCCTTACCCTTACTTGTAGGATGGCCGGCAGCTAAATCACCACAAATTACTGAGTGCATATTCCTGTTTGAATTGTGAAAAATGTAGGCGACCAGATCTTATTCCTGATGGTAAACATGGTGGCAATAATGGGACTAATTTTGACGTTCAAGCCATTTTTCTCCATGTCAGATGCATTGAGGCGTTCATATTAGTATATGATTAGTTAGCACTTAGGGTTACAATAGGGTTTGCAGACCTAACAATATTTAGAACTGCGAGAATCCATATACTATATGGGTCTATACTTTTCACATAATGTTCAATTCCGTGATCAGTGTGAAGGTGCTCTTCAAATTTTCTTGGATGTAAGCTCTGGAGAACCAGGTGCTTCCTTTTGTCTCCTTTTCCTCGGCTCCTAAATCCCAACATGCGCAGAACTGCAGGACTAGTAGATATATATATAAGAGAGCACTAACATTGGTCATTGCACCTGTTTGTGTGCACGAGGACAATTTCCCCAACTTTATAATAGTGAAACTTGAACAGCACGTCCTTCCCAGATGATGAATCCGAAGAGCGCGATCTATCCCTGGTGCAACCGGTAGGATTAGATGTGATTTATTTAGTTTAACACACGTCTTGAACTCCAGGTGACAGAAATCTTCTGATGCTGTTCAATCAATGTATTTTTTCTTGACTGTTGGTTTGTGCGCAATCAGCTTGTGGTTGACACTGCATGATCAGCTCCTGAGGTCTCTAGATGGACCTTGATAACCCTCAAACTCAAACCTTAACCAATAACCATGCCGCACTACCGGCGGACAGCGGTGGAAGGGAAGACCTTGAGCTTGCAGGGAACGGGGGAAGAAGAATATGGGCCTGTTTGCTTGTCTCCGAGGCAAGCTTGCCTGGCGCCGGTGCTGCTGCCAGGCGTCCGCTTCCCTGTGCCTGGGGCCAGGATTGCTGCTTGGCGGGCAGCTTGACTGGGAGGACGTCAAGCTAGCAAACACGCCCTATGTCTTGGATGAATTGGGTCGGAAAAACAGTAAGACAGTGGGTGGGGTGGCAGAAACTTTATTTGCTACCTGCGACGTCGCGTCGTTTATTACAGAGAACTCTGTGCCAACGGTCAGTGGATCATGCTATCGACCCTCTCGACTGCTGTATGCTCGGAGTCCAATTTTACTTGCTATAAAACCGGGCATTGATCTTCTCACTTTTAAAACTGTTTTTTTTCACCCTATGCAGTCTAGATTGTCGTTTTAGCTTATGTGGTACCATGGTACCACGTGGACCGGGCATCGGAAGTCGGAACCGCTTGATAGTTCAAGAATTATTAAGTAGACTAGTGGACAGGCACGCACGTGTCCATAAAAATGTTCATTCGTAAATGAGGAATTATAATGAAAATTTTGAGAAATAATAATGCACGTTCGAGAGAATTCATATAATAGATAAAGAAATCAAGAGGTGTTCAAACCATGATGTCAGCGTGCTCAATTTCACCAGAAGTTATTCTCTGTAATGCAGATATGTACAGACAAAAGTGATGGTACTAAACCATCATTCTGTAAGATGGGGTTGAAATTGCTTCCGGTCACCAAGCTCCATGGGTGTTCCAGCAGAGTGTGTACATAATAGAAAATAAAACTGAGCACTGAAAATTGGGAGCAACGAGAGGAAACAATTGTATCTTTTCAGTACAAGAAAAGAGAAACAAAAAAAAAAAAAGCATGTATTGCTTCACAAATCGACTGTCAAAATTAGTGCACATCTTTCTATCTCAGCACACCCATCCTATCTGAAACTAAAACCAGAAGTTGTACTCTTGGAAGAAGTTGCATATGGAGTATTAGTACTTATGCAAGACACTGGCTAATGATAGCATTTTCACTGGCTGTGTTGTTTAAGTGGTTTCACGTACTTTGAAAATTATATAGTTCAGAAATATTTAGAATGTGAATCGAGAAATAAACAACTCATGTGTTGCTCAGGATGGATGGCTGAACCATTTGCACCAAATCCAAAGAATTGCAAGAGATAACTACTGCTGACACTCACCATGACACTGTACTGAGAATGGTCGTTTGCTTAAAGCCCCTCATTAAAGTTGAAGAACATGTTCAAAGCTTACACTTGTTCTGAACATAAAAGAAATATTTAGTGAGTTAGCTGAATATCACAGGATACTGCTACCATCAGCATGTGTTACCAGAATATCAAATTTGCAAGCTAACAAACATCCAGCATTTATGATAAAACAATTATGTATCATCAAATTTATAAAGCGAAAGCCTCACCTCACATCAAACTTACCAGTATAGCATTTTTAAACCAATACTGCCAACTTGCTCAAAATACCAGGGTCAGCACAGAGTAAATACAGAGAATAAGCCAAGTGGTAATATATTTTCCATATGCTAAAATATTTTCTCTTTGATACATAAACAGCAAAATTGTCTGGTGAGGTGTTTGTGTTCTCACCTAGGTCATGCCTCTTCACCGTCAGGAGCACTGAAACAGTAGCGTCCAACACCACCAAATTGTCTGCCCAGATATGTTGCACAAGTTCAGGTCACGTAATATAAATCGCATTTATAAATCAAGGTCTTCCATATATCAACAACTCATCTGTGTGACCACCAAACTATTTTTCCTAATGCATATTCTAAGAGGCTAATTCTGCTCAGGGAACAAAGTGTAGTAGCCCGACCACCCATTTTGCACTTCAGGAATACAAATCTACTATGTAACACTCGTAACAACAAGCGATATAGCAGAACGCTCGGCACTGCCCTGCCTATAGAGTTTGTCTGTTTTTTTTATCTCGTGTAATCCATGAATTAATCAGAAGCACAGTTCTAGCTATTAACTGAGTCACATGTCCCAAACAAACTGAATGCATCTTACTCCAAATTGCAGTTTACGAACTGTTTTCCAAAATTGTTGCGCAATACAGATGCTCAAACAAATCATCTTACAAGCTAATTGATACTCGGATTTAGGGATGCAATCAAAGAGATGGTCCAGAATTGAGTGCCTTACTTCCTCTTTAATCTTCAGAACAATCCAAGTTAAGAGGTTGTTGAGATGACTCAGTCCCCTCGCTGCTCCTGAAGCAATGGATGTCTTGTAACGGACTCCTACATGTAGACAAACATTTTATAAATTGAAAGATACTGACATACAATTGAAACGTAGTTTTGTAGACAAGCGAATGTAGTTGAAACGTCCTACCTGCCAGAGGAAAACAAGGATATGTGCATTAGAATCATGTCGTATTTGCTAATCCATTTCCGAGTAAAAAGCTAACTGCTGCTAATCAATTTTGAGGAATGAGAACAGAAGATGTCTTGGAACATGATTGATGATTACTGAATGTTTTTTCTATACCATCTCCATCAGGTATGAAAATGTATGCTGTGCTATGTTATGAACCTTAGTTCATATCGGGGATAGGGAGGATAACCATTGCCAAGAGGAAGGCCGGGCAAAGTCGGCGTGGAGGGAGACTAGAATATTTGAGGGTAACTGGATTATTTGTTGTTCATTGCTTGATTCAATCTCAACTGGTTACAGGGTATAAATAGAGGAGCTCAGGCCCTAGGCGCCCAGCCTCTGGCTCCTTGTTTCTCTCCAAACATTAACTCTAATATCTCATTAACTCTAATCTCTTCCCCAGAATTCTAATTGCCATTGATTACAGCCGCATGCTCCTCTACTGCCGTGCTCCTGGCAGCTGCATGCAGCCATAACTACTAATACCCAACCATCTATTAATTGCTATAGATCACAGCTGCATGCGCATGACATGCTACTTGCAAAGTTTATCACTACCTTGGGAATCATCTTATGGCTGATATACATGGTGAAACTAATTCGCATAGATCACATCCAGCTTCTAGCTGCACATCTCTCAAAACTCAGAATCAAGTATGATACTATAGCTTATCTCAAGTATTGACAACAGTTATCAACACTCATCTAATTAACTGAATGTGGCACTTTAGGTTCTCTGAATTTTTTTACAGCAAACAAAGTCGGAAAATATTAGACTATTTTAAGTATGATATTACAGTTTAGCTTGACATCAGAGCAAATAAAAGAAACCATGCTATGAGATCCCAAATAGTATATATCAAACCATAATACTTGACCCTGATCTGAAAATTTTGTACTTTGCCTGAAACTAATATTTTCAGTACAAAACACCAACGCTATGGAGATGATTAAAACTAACATTTTCAGCATAAAACACATGATTTCAAACTAATAAATTATGACAATAAATATGGTCATGCAAAATATGCAGAGGCAGGCCTGTGTGAAGGAAAGGGTAAGGGCATACCTGTTGGATGCTTATCACCCGACAGAGACTTTGTGAAAGGCTCGCTGTTTGTCCAGCAATCGTCACTGAGAAGCGCACTTGGGGAGAGAATAGGAATGAGTAGGGTAGGAGGAGGCACACCTGGATATGGTGCTCGCCACGGCAGCGGCGCGGCTACTCCTCACGATCCGACCGACGGGCGCGTTGCGGGCAGCACGGCGGCACGGTCGCGGCGGCGGCGCTCGGCCCTCTTCCCCGGCCAGCGGCACTCGTCACCTCGCCACGACAGCAGCGTCCGGCCGCCAGGATCCCGTGAAAAAAACGTCCAGCGAGAACACCGAGGGAGGCGGCGCGGCGCACTACTTCGTCGACTACGTGGTCACGCTAGGCGCGGCGGGGCTCTTCGCCGCGAACTGCCCGTCATGGAGCTTCGATCCTGTAGTGGTGCAGACGATGAAGTTTTCGCGGGCAGGGAGCGAGGAAGCGCGGCTGTTCGCGGTGTATTGGGCCTGGATTTTTACTGTGAAAAACTTGGTGGCCAATTTGCACAGACGCCCAAAATCGATTTTCACAAATGCACATGCCACGGCCGCCACAGAGCTCTCGTGTCGTTCTTCTAGGGTTGAGAAATTTCCCCAATTCCCCGCTCGATTTTGGCTTCCTCCGCACCGCCCCGCGTCGGCGCCGTCGGTCCTGGCCATCTCTGGCGGCTGGTAAAGCTCCCTTCTCCCCGTTGTCGCTGTTCTCTCTCTCTCGCGCGCGCACATTCACTGACATTTCCATCTCGATGCCCACTCCACAGATCGCTCTCGGTGGCATGGACTGCTCCAAGAACGAGGGCGCGGTGGCCGCCCTCCCCGACGACCCCCTGGTGGAGATCCTCTCCCGCGTCCCTGCCAAGTCCGTCTGCCTGTTCAAGTGCGTCTCCAAGGCCTGGCGCGACCTCATTGCCGATCCTCACTACCGGAAGAAGCTCCCCCAAGCTATGCAAGGACTCTTCTTCATGGTGCCAGAGGACCTTTTCCGTGTCAGTTTCAGTTTCATCGATCTGACCGTGCCTCTAGATATCGACCCTGCCTTCTCCTTCCTGACAGAACGGCCTGGGTTGGAGAACCTCGGCTTGCTTGCTGGATTCCTGCAACGGTCTTATCCTCTTCAAGAACTACCAGGAGCCGCCGTACTCTGACACATTGGGCTATGTCGTGTGCAACCCAACCACAAAGAGATGGCAAGCCGTGCCCACTTGTGGCTCTCTGGATCTTACAAACTGCTCCTATTTGGCTTTTGATCAGGCCATATCCTCTCACTTCCACTTGGTCCAGTTCCAGATATCTGTGCCGGATGAGATGTTGGTGTTGCTGCATGTTTACTCATCTAAAAATGGGACCTGGAGTCGCAACCAAATTGACTCTCAAGAAAATCAAGGACCATTGGCAGAATGGCATCATCGGGGCATAGTATCTCGTAGGGACCCTGAGTGTGCCTTTGTTAATGGCTTCCTGCATTTCATAGTTGGGGACTCGGATCAACATCAGATAGTTTCTGTAGATGTACAAGGCAAGGCAAGAAGGGTGATCACAGTGCCAGGTGTGGCTGATGGGAGGCACCGGTATTGTTATTTAGGGCAGTCCCAATGGTGTCTGCATTATATGACTCAGGAAATGTTTGATGATCAGGAAGACAGGTGCATACTGTCCATCTGTGTTCTTCAGGATTATGATACACAATGGGTGTTGAAGGACACTGTGAGCGCCCTGGAGATCTTTGGGCACTTTACTAGGGACATTTTGCACGTCATCGTTGGCATTCATCAAGATCGTAAGGTGGTCTCTTTTCAGTCCTTGAGGAGTAATCTGATAGCATATGACATGGACCATAAGGAAGTGAGTGTTATTGCCACTTTCGAAGTTCTGAAAAAGCCGCTCCGTTTTGCTCATTATGTTCCCTATTTCTCAGAATCCCCGGCTCTCACAAATTAGCACTGGGAGTATGTGCTCTATGTATGAGTTACTAGCCGCTTTGTTAAATTCTAGTAGACTCGGGTAAAATGTTCTGTCCGCACTATGATGTACTCCCTCCATACTAAAAAATGAAGTCGTTTTGGACATCGACACGGTCTCCAAAGCATAATTTTGACTACTTATTTTTATAAATATATTTATCAAAAAGTGATATATGTAAATTTTTGTGAAAGTATTTTTCAAGACAAATCTATACATATGGTTTTCACATTTCCAAACTCAACAGCTTAAAAGTTATTCATGATTTATATTCCCAATATTTGACCCAAGCCTTGTCCAAAACGACTTCATTTTTTAGTATGGAGGGAGTATTTCTTATCATGCTTTTGATCTAATTGGTATTGCAAGCCTGTTAAGACATTTATGAAGTGAACCTTTATGGATGCTAGCTGTGTCCAAGTTGAGCAATTTGCACTTCTGTTGAGAAGTTTTATGATTCACACTTTTTTCTGTGACTACTAATGAGCAATTATTTACTTTGAATTTAGTTTCTTTGGTCGTGTATTTATTTCTGCTGAGCAAGTAAAATCATCTTATATATGTGGCAACTTTTAAATGGCGCACGTATGATTCACATTCAAATGGAAGGCTTGCTGTAACATCAAAGGTTTCCTGAGTATGGTTGGGAATGGGATTAGAAGGAATATTCGGTACAGATTCTACCAGACCTGGGAATACAATCGCCTATGGGAAATGCTGCTTTCCATCTAGTCCAGGACGCCTGCCATTCTCTTTTCCACGAGCTGTACCGTCTTTATCTCTCACTTCCCCCAACTTTCCCTCTCATCAGCCATCTCTGTCTTCCACAAGCTCCCCTTTCCATCGATGAAGAAGATAATGGTCTGCCAGATGACACGATCCTGGAACCTAATTCTTCTTCTACAACCCTATTCTGTCCTGGTATGAGGTCAACCAGCACACCGGCGACATGTCAGCCACCACATTTGCTTGGGACTGCAAATTTTCCAGGTAAAATGAGTTGTTCTAAATTTTAGATCTACAGCTATTTCATTCTGCTTTTAGTCACATGTTTTTTATTGGATCTGGATCTGGATGTTGCTTTTAGTTCATACGTCTGGTGCTTTTGATTAACTTTTAGATCTGGTCTATCATTGTTTTAGTTCAATGTGATTGATGGAGACAGACAGACAGTAGGCCTTCTGTTAGTTCATGTCTGCTTAGTTTTAGATAAGCACCGAAGGCTCTTACGTGTGCTGTGTCGTTTTTGGTTTTCTTGTTAATTAGATTATTAAGATCTGCTTGTTTTCTTAGTTTTTCTAGACGACCTATATCACGGGCCTGACTTTAGATCTAATGCATGGTGCTTTCCATTAATTTTTATAGATCTGTTATCTAGGTTCTTTGTTTAATATTCAGTGTGGTAATGCGGCTGCTGCTTTTTAGTTATTATGTTGCATTGACACTGCAAGCGGATAGCATTTTTTATTAGTCTTTGGAACTTTAGTCTAGTAGTTAGATTTCTTTATCCTGTTGTGCTGACAGCTGATTTTATAAATTAGTTGTGATGGATGGTGTGCCATGAAACCTGATTTCTTCTTGATTATATATATTTTTTATTTCAACTTGTATCTGCTTGCCTTAAGCACCGACTGCTTTTATAGGTAGCATGCTTAAAAGAAAGCTTCATTTATAGTTGCCTGAGAAAAGAAAAGGCTAAACAACTTTTAAAAATGACGCTTTATCTGCAATGTGTTATAAACAGACTAACATCATGGATTCTTGACACAAACTGCAGACGTATTTCAGAACCATTGTCAATCTGGGTGTCACTGACTGAATGAGCTGCACAAAGGTGGACATGCTGAGGAAGGTTAGATTGTTAATTAATATGTTTTCTTGCAGCTTCATTTATTTGTATTATCTGTACGTTTGTCATGCCACATATAAATTATTAAATTATTTCTGAAACTGTAACAGGAAGTTCTGGTTACGATTTTTATATGCCAGTTTGTTATCGTATGAATGAAACCTGTGGAGATGAAGGTGTGCATTTTTGGACTAATTAAGACATCAGAGATGTTATCTGCTGATTATGGTAAAAAGAAAATAAATTGTGGCTGGCTAACATATCCTAAGTGCAATCTTTTATATGTCAGCTTGGATATTGATGACTAATGACCTGCAATACACAAATATTTTAAGTTTCAATTTTCCATCTGTCATTACAGAGCTGCACTATATGTATATTTCACTATCATGAATTTTTCCTTTGTAAAAGTTCTAAAAATATTAGTTTACAAATCAATAGATATATGAGAAAATGACTGTTCCTTTTGCTATTGTTTAAATCTTCAGTTTGTGCTAATTACAAATAATATAAAGGTTGGCTGTCATTATTTCATTTGAGATAGTGCCTTTATTTTTTTACCATTGTCATATTTCATTAAACTCATATCATTTCTTCATTCTAAAAAGATGAGAACTACATTTGTGATTTGTTAATGCCATTGTGTTTCTAATGTAGGAGATTTTTGCAAAAATCCCTAGCGTTCTGTAGATTATGCAACTTCTAGAAATATACCATTCCCTTTCACAGTGCTTTTTTAAATGATCGAAGAATTGCGTTAATATCATATCATTCTTCGTACTAACAAGTTGACATTTGCTTTTGTAATTTATTAATGTCATATAATTTTTGCTGTGTATTTTATTAAAGGTGTTATACTTTTTAGATGAGCTACTGAGGCTGGTCTTTTTGGTTACTTCTAGTCCTCTTCTATCACCAGTCTGATTTTAGATCTTACTCATGGTGCTTTTGATTAACTTTTTAGATATGTTATCTAGCTTTATGCTAATCTGGCTGACTTCAAGCGGATTGTTGTTTTGATTAGTCTTTAGAACTTTAATCTAGTTAGTTATATTTTTCCTATTGTTCTTATGGGTCCTTTTATAAATTTGTTTATTTTATCTTACTCTCGTTGTTTTAGTATATTCTACTAAATTTTGCAGGCTGTAAGAATTATTAAACCATTTCCTCATTCTATAACAGGAGGTTCTTTTATATACAAGTTTTATAGCACATGTTATAATATGGATAGCATAGTCACCACAAATTAAATGTATGCATTTTTTGGCTACTTGGCTTGGTGGTTCCACCAGCTGGAACAATTTAATTTAAAATTTCTGACTCATTCCACCAGCATTTTTTAGATATTAATTTTGTATCATGAATGTTAAGCCATGTTTGGCATAGCTCGGCTTCACTAGATCTATAATTTCTGACTCATTCCAATCTATAATTTCTTGGGCCTTGAGGTAAAATTGTCTCACATCACCTAATAAATAATAGATCCAGAATTGGTATCTTTTTAGGCATGTGTTAGAAGACACCACACAGCATGTTAAAATAAAATAGTCGGATATCTATCTATCCCTGTGTTTGGATTCATTTTTAATCTAATATTATTACTAGATATATGCACGTGCGTTGCATCGGGGACATGAATTTTGTCGACACCGTGCATGGGCTGGCCACTATGGTCTATGACTGGACCAGGAATTTCACATGCTGCTTCCATCGGAAAAGGAAAATATACGGCGACAGAATTACCGGGTGGAGGGGCCGAGGGGAGGGGGCCAATCCCTGACGCTACTTGTCGTGCCGAACGGGCAACCTCCCATAGTGGCTGTCGTCGTTCGCATTCGTGGCCGCGTCGGGCGCCGACCTCGCCGACGTTCTCCGCTTCCACGTCCTACTCGAGTTCCTTGCCCCCACCGACATCCGCCGCTTGCCTGCCTCCGTGAAGCTCGTGACCACGCCGTTCCATACCACCAGCTGCGCCCCCGTGGACCTTTGCGCTGTCAATATCACCACAGCGGGTGCCTCCCTTGCCGTTGTCCGCTTGCTGGCACCGTCCCCGGATTCGAATGCAACCGTCCTCAGCGCCACTAACGCGGTGCCACCGGTGGTAGGGAAGCCATGTCCATGCCGGATCTCGGTGTTTTGGCGCTGCATTTCGTGCGGCAGCGACGGTGCCACGGACTCCCTCTCGGCAACCCGCTTGGCCTGCCCGGCAACCTCGTCCACCAACCGATGGGCTTCCTGTAGCCGCTTCATCCACTGGTCCACAGGGGAAGACGACGGCGCTGCACCTTCACGCGCCATGCCGACGCCCTATGCAGATGCAGCTACGCTGCAAGATCCCGACGAGTTCCAGCAAGGAATTTGCGCCTTGATTTACTCTGGCGCGAGATAAGGAAACTGATCGTCGACGGCAAACATGCTTCGTGAACAGGGCGTTGCATTGCACGATCTTTTTCATGGAGTAAGTAGGTTCAGGTTTAATCTAAAAAGGTCCGGTCTCGTAGAGGTGTCCGGCTCTAGTTTGATTTCCGATTTGATTTGACATCGAGGTCGCCACGTTCTATTACCACTACGTGAAAAACAATTTGTAGCAACGTGATAATTTTTTTTGTAGGGGTGGCTCGTGATGGAGCCGCCCCTACAGTGGTGTGCTAGGGAGTCCAGAGACCAGCCGCCCCTACAAATGGAACAACAGGGGCGGCTGGTAATACGAGCCGCCCCTACAAATGCATAGCCACCCCTGCTAAGGCCCGTGTGGCTCCTCGAAGCCCAGCAATGGCCCAAACAGAGAAACCTGGCCAAGCGATGTCAGCCATTGATCTAAGATGGATGGCTGAGATCTGACCGACTGAAAACGAACTCATATAAAATCCGGCCAAACCCTAATGCCCCCACTCTCTTCACTCTCTCTCCTCTCCTCCTTACACCCAGCAGCCACCGACATCCAGGGAGAGAGAGAGAGAGAGAGAGAGAGAGAGAGACGAAATGCACGGCCGTGGCGGCTCCCACGGAGCGGCGGCGACCCGAGCGTGCGTGCAACGGACGCGGGCGACGCTGGACCTTAGGTGCAAGGCGCCGTGCCGGAGGTGGCACGGAGGAGGAGCGGCGGCGGCGGGGGTGCTTTGGAGCTACTGCTGTGGCCGGCCGTTCGGCACTCCGTGGTGGCGTCACGAGGCTACCGTGTTAGGTGGCGGGAGGAGGAGGATCATCACGCGATGGCGGCGCTCGGGAGATGTAGATTACAAGCGCCATGGGCGGGCGGCCATGTGCTCACTCAGATCTGGCGCAACCCTAAGCCGTCGACGGTAAGAGGTACACCTTCGACCTCCTCTTACCAGCCTCTGGCATCGCGGTGACCCTCTCTCTTTGGCTGGAACTAGCAGATCATTCATCCGCGCGAGGAGATCCGAGGAGGTTCCGTCGAGATCTGAGGAGCAATAAAAACCTTGCTAATGATTGCCTACTTATTTCACCTTGCTAATGATTTTTAGTATTATAGATTCTGATGCCCAGTGTGCTGTTTTCCTTTCTTTGCAAAAGAATATGCCATATTTGGAGATGATAAAATCCACCAACTAGAAAGTGAGTTCGTCCTTTTGATCTCAATTCTGGATTTGTTAATTTTTTGAGATCCTGTTAGTGTCATTATCAATTTGTCATGCCTTGGTAAATTGTGTATATTGAACTTTTAGTTAGGTACTATTTTGTCTTGGATCTCTCAACTAATAATGCATGGATTGCTATATCTCTGCAACAAAATTTGCTCCTCTCTTGCTTATGTAGTTTTTACTTAGCTATCCATTTAAGTCACAGTTTCAAGAATGTTACTCCTGATTTAGTTCAGATCTTACTAGGTGCGAACAAAAGTGGTGACTAGGGAACCGCTGCCCCATTCCCAGGACGTCCATGGTGAGCTCTTCCACACAATTCCCATGTCTCTTATTCTGCTGCTTTGGATGTGCGCGTCTTGATGGATTGCTGCAAAGATAAAAATACCTATATGGTGTGCGAGAACCGGGCATGTAAAAAATACTCCTTTAGTTCTTTTGGATGTCGAATTCTTAGCAAACAATTTCTTTCAAGTTTTCATTGTTGTATGGGTCTATGTGATTAGTCTAGTCCAGGGTTCAGTTTCCACTGGTAACTGGTTTTTCCATTGGATACCAGGAGAACAAATCCTGTCCAGGAAATTCTAAATTTAAAATGTAAGTGCAAATTTTTAATTTGAACTGATTAACAGTAATCTGTTGAGGACTTGGTGGGATCCTCATTTATAGTGGTAAATTGGAGGAGCTGGTAAAATTTAAGCCCAACATCTACATTTTCAAATATCAACAAATACCAATACACAGTTCTAAGAGTTTCATTTCGTTTAATGCATTTATGCCCTAGGCAGTGTCAAACATAAGTATTTGAACACATTATCGATTTTGTATAAGCCTTTGATTATATGATTATATTTGTTTCATCCAGTAGTAATAGGTTTCTGTACCTACTACTGTACCTATACCCTTTTTCTTTGGATACAACATTTGTTATGCTGAACATTTTCAAAACTTGGTACTGTTCTGAATCTATAATGTTCCACTATCTGGTTGTTAACCAAGCTTTTTATCAGTGTGGCTTTGATTGTATTTGGTGCATTTGTTGCTGGAGCTCGAGACTTGTCATTTGATGCTCATGGGTATGCTATTGTCTTTGTGGCCAATATTACGACAGCTGTTTATCTTGCTACTATAAACCTTTATTCCCCTGGGTTCATGGTAACACTAGATTCATGGTAAAGTTAATTTGTGCATGCTTTTGTCAGTTTTAGTAGGCATTTAAAGACTGTGGATGCACGTCACGAAATTCAAAAGCCATGAGTCATGTTAATTATCTTCGTCGGTGTGCTTGTACTGTCAATTAGCCAGTTAGCCCTTGGGACTCATCTTTGCAATTGGAAGTTTAGTTTGCAAGACATTGTTCTGTTTGTTTCACTATCTTTGAGATCCGGTTAAGTCTAGAAATTAGCTTGGATTGCACATGTTACTGAAGCACATGAGTACTACCTTGTGTGTAGTCACAGAGACTCACTCTCACCCAAGTAAGTTTTGTTGGTGCTGATAATTTTGATAATACCACCCTTTAGTCCTTTAATATCATTTATCATGTTCTAATTTAGCAACAATTATCCATAATACTATTACGATGACCTATTGATAGTGCCTCCAGTTTGAAACCTCAAAATTCTTTCATTCAGTCCAATTACTAGTGTATAGTATAGCTGCTGTAGATGATCTTCAGGTCACTTTACATGATAATTTGTTTATTTTTCATACTAATTTAACACTCAAAACAGGTAGACAACAAAATAGTGAGTAATGTCAAGTAGTATTCCATTATATCATGTAATGTCAATAAAGTTATGAATGTCACTTATAATGAAATTTCACTTGTAGTAGGTCAGTCTTTGCTATTTTCGTGCATCTTAGCATTTCTACTGAACTACACTATCTTCTGGAACACAATCCTGAATTCTGCACACACAATCGATGTGTGGAAACTTGAAGGTACAGCTGCCATCCAGTTATTCCACTCAACCGTATAGGCCAACATACAAACCATTTTTGAGTAGTGATATTCATGTTGCGCTGTTTCTGCAGGATTTCTTCACCGTTGGAATAGTTGTGTAGCATGTTGGTTGTTCATCTTTTGAAGTGTTTGCCTGTGCATACACTTAGGTTGATACTAACCTTGGGCTAGTTCTTAGTGGTGTGGATGTTGAGAGCTTTAGCTAGTACTAAATGGGTGCTAAATGTTTTGGACATCTTATATGTATTTATGTTGATGCAAACAAGACTATCTTTGTATGTAATGGGTTCATGTGACTAATCTATCTGTCTATATATCTATGAGTAGTATATATGTTCTGGTCATATATATATATATATATATATATATATATATATATATATATATATATATATATATATATATATATATATATATATATATATATAAAAGACTATTCTACAGCTGGCCACAGAATAATTTATTCTATGGCCACCTTGATTTACGATAATGTTTGTACCAATTTACGATAATGACAATACACATTTACGATACATGGGTTACTATAATTCAAGATGATACTTACCATAATGCTATAGTAAATCACTTATGAGTTAGTTATTATAATCTCATAAATTAGTATAGTAATTATCGTAACTTAAAGTGGTCATAAAATAACTTATTCTGTGGCCAACTATAGATCAGTACGTCTATATATATATATATATCGAATTTGAATTGTAAATTTAAAAAAAAATTGGCGGAAAAATAAATTATAGGGACGGTTGATACTATAGCCGTCCCTACAAATTGATTTGTAGGAGCGGTTGATAACATCAGCCATCTATACAAATCAATTTATAGGGACAGTCTGGGAACCGCCCCTACAAACCATCTAAAACCGTCGCTACAAGTCTGTTTTGGCGTAGTGTACGAAGTTGCTGTGGATGAAACCTCCTCAGATTTTTTTAGGTGGTAATAATACAAATGTTTCTCCCATCTTAAAGTAAGTGTGCATATCACATTTTAAGAAATCAAATAACTTTAACTTTAAATAGATTTATAGAAATAATATTAACATTTGTTTATCCGAACAGATTTACTGTATTGTAAAAAGATACAACGTTACTAATTTGATACTATTTATCTAGTATCATCGATAAATATTTATATTTATATATATATTTGCCCTTCCGTTATGCCACGTGGGACATGCTCATGAGTCGTGACGGACTCAGCATCTCAGCCTTTGCTAAACTTGAGGGCATGACTAAAATCTGACCGTTGAGTGACGATCGGACGGCGAGCATTCTCTGCCCTCGAAGGCTTATCCGGTTATTATCCCTCCCACTCGCAGGCGCAGCAGCAACAGCACCCAGGGCCAAGAAGGCCACACCCACCCATGGCGCTCGTCCTCTCCCCGACCGTCTCCTTCCTCGTGTCCCCCTCTGCTCCACGTTCCCGAGCTCTATCCTCTGCCGCCAATGTCTCCTACCCCGGTAAGCTCCGCTGACGCGCATCCTCGATCCCCGTCGTCTTGTTCGAGTCCAACTCCCCTCTGTATGCTGTCCTGGCTGGTTGGGGTCGGTTCTTGGGATGGATGTCATGCCCTACCAGCTGCAATCCCCGCAGCGAACTGCGGCTGCGAGGTTTATGGTCGGTTTAATGGTGCTCTAGTCGAGCCCCAGGCGTTTCTGCGCCGCTGTGATGCTGCTGGCTCGGTCGGGGATTTCTTCGAACACTAATCGTGCAGAATTTCTTCGTCAGTTAGCTACGCTCCCAATAGGCTAGAGCTGTATCAATTGTATCAGGAACGCTAGAACACTAGGGCCCCGTTCGCGTGCCCTTAAATCTGGCTTTGATCCGCTTCTTTTTTCATCCGGAACAGTGTTGTTCTCTCGCAAATTCCTCCAGCATTCCTCCAAACCATCTAAATTCCTCCAAGCGAACAGGTCCTAGATTTTGCTCCTTCCCTGCTTTATCTAATGCCAATTACTGTAAGAGTTAATAAGCAACAAAGTGCTAAGGGAACTTCGCTTGCTATTTGCTATAGTCGACTATATGCCCACACTATTTTACTGTTAATCTGGTGATACCAAAGCACACTGAACTTCCTGCTAAGTAGTATTGTTGGTTAATAACGCTGGGGAAACCTTATTTTCTTTATTGTATTGCAACCTTCGTGTCATGAACCCATGACTTCATTAGGCCCATGTGAGTTCAGAATTGAAATGTGTGAATTGGTGTGCTCTAGATCCTATTAAGTGGTTTCCCTTTTTTGTTATTACTGTTGTTGCAGCCTCAAGGCTGCAATGCAAGAACCTGTCCTCCCTGCAGAGCCCTCTGAATGTGACTGCTACTTGTGCTTCTTTCACCGAGAAGAGGTCGCTTCTTGTCCATGCCACGGCAGAGGGTTCCGAGGCTGGTGCGGAGCAGCCAGAAGAGCCGAAACCGGCGACCAAGATCGAGGACATGCCGCTCGAGTCGAAGCAGAAGATGATCATGGAGCAGAGGGCACGGATGAAGCTTGCCAAGAAACTGAGGCAGCGGCGCAAGCGGCTTCTCCGCAAGAGGAAGCTTAGGAAGAAGGGTAGGTGGCCTCCGTCCAAGATGAAGAAGCTCAAGAATGTATGAACAGCATCAATGTTGACTGCCACTCTGCCTTGGCTCTTTGTGTTGTGGTTGCCCAGTTTACCAATTTTGCTGTTCAGAATCTGAGACACAATACCTACGAAGTGTAATTCTGTTTTCACGTAATTGAATCTTCTTATTACAGTCTAGCCTACTCATTGTGTCTGAATTTTCTCCCTGGATCCGTATATGATGATTGAAGTGTGCTTTAGCTGTGGTTCAGGACTGGCACTATATATTAGTCTATGCTGCATAACTAACTATATGTTCTTTCATGAGCAAGTCTGGGGTATCTTTTGTATCTGAACCTGTCTTACATCATGATAAATACCATTGGAAGGCCAACTAGATGATCCTCGAAGGCTTGAATATTGCCGGCCAGCAGATTTGCAGTTGGTTCTTACTCCACGGCCTCATCATTTTGGCTCCGTTCGCTTCGCTGAAAAAACAAGCCGAAACACTGTTCCGACTGATTTGTTGTGAGAGAAAAACACTGTTTCGATAGAAAAAACAAGCTGAAAAGTACGAATTATAAGAGAAACGAACAGGGCCTTTAGGATAAAAAGCCACTGCTCATCAGCAACTTTTCCCAGCTTCCTGCATATGTCATACAGTTTGTGTTCTTTCCCACTTTATATTGTTGTGCTTCCAAATCTTCAACTAATACGATACCCGAAGGAGTACAAGGGTGCATATATCAGCCTTGAAAAACAGCTGATGTTGCTCCAAATGAGGCATTCTTATGAAATTGCCTGTTCTGGGTCCTACGTGGTGCAGATGTTAACCGTAATGTCCTTGTAATTTCAGAATTTGTTTAATTCTAGTCAGATACACAATGAAATACCATAGTGTGCATTACCTGTACTGACCTTCTGAAAGATTATATAAGGAATGCCGTAGTAATAGTAACCAAAAAAAGGAAAAAAAAAAGGGAAAGAAAGCTGCAGTGCCGACCATTTTCCAACAGTCTAAGCCTCGCAAAGGTTGGGGCTCCACTGCTGTGCAAAGTTGATCAAAGGCATCTTTGTTTGCTTACTCAGTTGGCTACAGTACATGTTCATGGTATGTGACAATGCCCCCACGCTTCTCTTTATGGTGCTTGATACTCAAGAAAAGAACAATCATCATATGCTCCAAATGATTCAATAGTTTGCATATTTCTCCCTTTTTTTGCAAGGATTTTCTCTCTCCATAATCTTGAAATGTAAATGGAAGTTACAAATAGTCTATTTGAAACTGATGTCATCTCAATTAGAGCATCACCGATTCACCGGTCTGTAATCTATTAGCTCCCCCTGGCATAACTAGAGACGAAGGAAAGTTTATCTGGTTGGCTCAAACTTAGAAGACAAGAGGCTGTTGGTCTTATTTTTTGGATGAAGGAGAATCAGATACTTCGTCTGCTTGGCTACTCAGGGCAGCAAAGTGAAAAGATGAACAGCAACAGATTGCGCCACCGGTCGACTCAGGCTCTCTTCCCCTAGGTGCCCGGATCAACGCGACTGAAGACACTGTGATTGGGACGCTGGGTTCTTGTGGGAAAAAACAGAAAAGACATCAAGGACAAGGAGGCATTGTGGAACCGCTTTTTCCCCTTTTTTCCCCTCATGTGCCGGTTACTGATTAGTGTAGCTCACATCTCCGGTGCGGTTCTGCTTTGCCGCTTTACCCGCATCATTTCATCATCACCAGTATCATCTGATTATCTGATAGCCGCCTCCGATCCAGCCTGGTGAGGACAGGAACAATCATCGCCATCAATCCCCATATACTGATAGATAATTTCAAATGACTCTGATTGTTGCAGGCTTAGCAGCGCCAGCGGTGCAAGTTAATCAGTTCTCTTTGCTGTTGTGGAAGATGAAAGTCTGTTCAGCTACTACCAGAAAGTGAGGCTCAGTGGCTCATAAAGGCAAGGCTATCCGATACGTTACCTGAAAATGACTCGCCTGGCGCTTGGCTAACAGACACCGACACTATCAAGTGTAGCTGCAAGTTTTTTTTAAAGAAAAAATCTTGTTTTTTTGACAAAACACATGTGGTTAAAGGCTGGAATGCTCGACACTTCGACACGGCATAGGTCTTATGATCGATCCATCACTTTCCTTGCAATATTTCTATCATGAATCTATCCTAATCCTGCCCATCAGCCCTTGTTCGTTTCAATACAGTTGCTGAAAAACAAGTCGAAATCTTTGACACATGCACGATTTAAATATGTATAATTATGAAACTAATTACCCGATTTCATGACTAATTTGGTGTGAATCTTTTAAGACTAATTAGTTCATGAATTGACAATGAGGTGCTACAGTAAAACATTATTAATGCTTAATTAGGCTTAAAAAAGCGCGAAAAAAGTATCTCAACATCTCATGCGACGATTATAAGAGAAGCGAACGCATTATAAGAGAACGAATCCCCCACGGGAGAAGCTTCCATCCACCATGATCCCATCGAAAGCGATGCGAGGCCTATCAGCTCCAAAGAAAGGAGACCAGTCAGAGCCCAGGTGAATCCGATTCTGTCAAAAGCGAGGCTCAACTCCAGCTACAAATTGTGCCCCATGCTGCCGGTACCAGTCCCTACCACCAGTGTCCCCTTCGGCTGCTGTCCCCTCAACACCGGTTTGACTCCCGAGCTGATCGTGTGGGCGCGCGGGCGACGCGTCAATGGTGAACACCGGGCGCTTCGTCATCCTCGTCCTCGCGTACCGCCTCCTGGTACCCCTCCTCTCAGCCTCAGCTGGACCGGACCACAACACCAAAGAGGTAGCCCCACTGCACTGGATTGGCAGCTCAGCTGCAACAACTCAAGTGGCAGGCAGCCACTAGCTTAGGATTCTGGGTGGCGATTGTTCTGTTCCATGGGGCTTACTGAATTGTGCCTGTTGATCGATGGTGTTGGCGATCCAGTCGTATGTCGTCTACATGGGGAGCCCGTCGGGAGGCGGAAACGGCGGCGGCGTCAGCGATCAGGAGGCGGTGCAGGCGGGTCACCTGCAGATGCTGTCGTCCATCGTCCCGAGCGACGAGCAGGGGAGGGTCGCGCTGACGCAGAGCTACCACCACGCGTTCGAGGGCTTCGCCGTCGCGCTCACCGAGAAGGAGGCCGCCGCGCTCTCCGGTGAGGCCATGGGCTCCCGATCGGCCAATTGCATTGCTTGTCGAATTGTTCCTTTCCTGGCCAATGAATGATCCTGTTGGTTGTTGCGTTCTTTGCAGGGCACGAGAGGGTGGTGTCCGTGTTCAAGGACCGAGCCCTGCAGCTGCACACGACGCGGTCGTGGGACTTCCTGGAGATGCAGTCCGGGCTCCAGTCCGGCCGCCTCGGCCGACGGGCGTCCGGCGACGTCATCATCGGCATCGTCGACACGGGTGTCTGGCCGGAGTCTCCGAGCTTCAACGACGCCGGGATGCGCGACGTGCCGGCGCGGTGGCGCGGCGTGTGCATGGAAGGACCCGACTTCAAGAAGAGCAACTGCAACAAGTACCAATGCTGGCCTGGCATTATGTATCTGTTCAAGAAATTTCTGTATAAGTGACACATATAATAATATATAAATGCGTGTCTGCCATGTGCCGTTGTCGCAGGAAGCTGATCGGCGCCCGGTACTACGGCGTTCAGCCCGAGTCGTCGGCACCGAACGCCTCCAGCAGCGCCGTGGCGACGCCGGCCGCGACCGGCTCGCCGCGGGACACCGTGGGCCACGGCACGCACACCGCGTCCACGGCGGCCGGCGCGGTCGTGTCGGACGCCGACTACTACGGGCTCGCCTGGGGCAGGGCCAAAGGCGGGGCGCCGTCGAGCCGGGTGGCCGTGTACCGCGCGTGCTCGCTGGGCGGGTGCTCCACGTCGGCGGTGCTCAAGGCCATCGACGACGCGGTGGGCGACGGCGTGGACGTCATCTCCATCTCCATCGGCATGAGCTCCGTGTTCCAGTCCGACTTCCTCACCGACCCCATCGCGCTGGGCGCGCTCCACGCGCACCAGCGCGGCGTGCTCGTCGTCTGCTCCGGCGGCAACGACGGGCCCAACCCCTACACCGTCGTCAACTCCGCGCCGTGGATCCTCACCGTCGCCGCCTCCTCCATCGACCGCTCCTTCCAGTCCAGCATCGCTCTCGGCAACGGCGACGTCGTCAAGGTAGCTACACACACACTGACTGAATGCACGCTGTTCCTTCCACCACCGCCGACGTGGCCGCCGCCATCGCCGTGCTTAGAGCAGCTCTTGGTCGTTTGGTGCGTGTCAGGGAGTGGCGATAAACTTCTCCAACCACAGCCTCAGCGGCGAGCAGTACCCTCTGGTGTTCGGGGCCCAGGTGGCCGCCCACTATGCGCCGGTCGCCGAGGCGAGGTACAATACCACAGCTGAACGCCGGCGCAACGCACCACATTTTCTCAGGGTGCAGAACTGATTAATGTTGGAGACCGTTGCAGCAACTGCTACCCTGGATCATTGGACGCGCAGAAGGTGGCCGGCAAGATAGTGGTGTGCGTGAGCACGGACCCGATGGTGTCGCGGCGGGTCAAGAAGCTGGTCGCCGAGGGGTCCGGCGCCAGGGGGCTGGTGCTCATCGACGACGCCGAGAAGGACGTGCCCTTTGTCGCCGGCGGCTTCGCGCTATCCCAAGTTGGCACCGACGCCGGCGCGCAGATCCTCGCGTACATCAACTCCACAAAGTGAGCCAGCCAGCCCAGCCGTGAGGAGAGGGAGACCTTCCTTTTTTACACCGGCACCGCGGGAGGAGTCTGACTGACACTAACCGTTGATCTCGTGCTGGTTCAGGAATCCGACGGCCGTAATCCTCCCGACCGAGGACGTCGGGGACTTCAAGCCGGCGCCGGTGGTGGCGTCCTTCTCGGCGCGTGGCCCTGGCCTCACCGAGTCCATCCTCAAGGTAGTTTCCTTTCCTCTGCAGAACTGTGATGAAATGACATGTCGCATTTTGGAGTTCACCTGACTCTGACATGACATGTTGTTGGCGGACGATTGTAATC